AATACATTAGAAAATGAGTTACGCAATAAAGGAGAGGTTGGAAAGTTGGTGACAACTTAAATGAACTGAGATGTATTCAGTGGTACGTTAATGTAACATTTTTATAGTCAAGCGATAATGATTTCTTTAGTTCCTAGCACAATTCCAGATTGAAAATTATTCCATTGGTAATAATTAGACTAGGAAAATATACATTTGTCGATCTAAGGTAACTTTTTTTTCTAATAATCAATTGTCATTTGAAGCGGAATTGAAAAAAATCTAATCCATTCTTTCAGAAAAATGATTGTGAGTAGACAAATAATATAATCAGAGGAAGGAGATAGTGGCTTAGAAACATTGATAAATATATATATATACTATCATCCTGATTCTCTTGTATGTAGACAGATAGGCAGCGGTTCACAAAAACAATAGTAACAAATGTTTTTTTATTTCTGAAATAGAACACGCCACATTGACTATTGTCTTTTATATAAGTCCCCTACTGAGTCAAAATACTTCGATAAGTTGTATTTTACCCATTTCCTTTAGATAAGACTTGAAAGTTTCGAAATAAATTTACATGTATTTTTGTTTTAATTCCCTTTCAACATTTTACTTGGTTGAGTATGCATTTTATGAGACCTTGTGATGATGCATAAGGACTGGAAATGATTTTTATCATTTCATTTGTGTAGACAAATAAGAATTATCAGTGCATAGTTTCTTAAATTTTAATACATATCTGATGACAAAATTTCAGTGCTTATAATCTGTGTTGTTTTTACCAGATACATGTATAACAATTATCAAGGTGCGGTTAACTCAGTAGCTTGGTATCTAGAAATTTAGTGATTGGTTTTATCCAATTATAGAAAACAGGATGTTTAATGCATGAAAGGGTAATGAGAGAAATAATAAATATATATGAAACGTGAGAAGGTGAAATTATGTGATAAATAAAGCAACAGTTGAAAAACGAGAAGGTGAAGAAAATTATAAGGTGACGAGAAGCAGGTTAAGGTGATTATAGTGAATCAGTTGTTGATAATAAAGCATACAGTTCTTATCTAAAATGAGCAGTGAAATAAGCCTGTTTTTATGCATATATTGGGGGTGATTTCAGAATTGCTAATATGCTAGCATAAAATGTTGGAGAATGAATGATCAAAAATATCTGAAATATTCACATTAACATTTAAAAGCAACAGATGTGATAAAAAGACCAAGAAGGGTAAAAAGGTGGCAATTTAGGTGAAGACAGAACTTAATTTCAATTTTAGTCACAGACTAGTGTCAGTTGAAGAGAAAACATTTACTTCATTTTTAAATACTGTCAATCAAAAACACTACAATTGGTAATTACAACTGATCAACCATTTGAAGTCTGATCACAGTACCAGTATTAAAACCATTGAAACGAGGGAGTACTAGACAGCTGTTCCGCATAGTTTGAGACTCTTCAACAGTACGCACCCACAACCCTATCAAGGATAGAACCCAAAACCTTCAGGTCAAGAAAGCAAGCTTTTTGAACATTGGCTGGCTCTCGCACTGTATATAGAGAATTAGTAGAAGTTAGAATTCATGGGACATTGGATTCTGGCTCAAATGGCTGCATATTTAACGTACTTGGCATCTTAAACTGATGGTTCTAGGTTGGATCTCTGTTGCGATTATGGTGTGCGTACTACAGAAGTGTCTCAGACTAGGACAAAGCATCTGTGCAGTACTGCTTGGTTTTCAGGGTCCCCTGAATTATGTCAAACCGTAATCAAACCTGAGATAAAACAAACTGCTATAAAATCAGTTTGAAATAAGTTTACTTTGAGAAAGGGCAGAGTTTTCAGCACTTTCTATCACAAAGTATTCATTCCTTGTGTAGAATGTTTAACCAAATTAATAATCAGAAATATATCACTTCACACAGTATTAATCTATCTAAAGCACTCTCTAACAACCTGGTATGCTTTTGCATAAGGTAGGTTGAATCCGATTTGAAAACAGGTGTGAGTACGAATTGCATCTCAGAGGTATAATTGGGTAATTAAAACATGAAATAGAGCAAATGAGAAAAATTCTAATAGATGAAAAATTAGGTAGCCCAGTGACTTAAGCAGGCCGCCACTTTTCTTACTGAGGCAGATACTTATCTAATATTTGCGAAAAACCACTAACATCAATCAATGTTCTCATTTGTGAGTTAGAATTAGTCAACAGTCTCACTAGTTGGTGTTGTTTTTCTGCTGTAGCTTCAATAAACGATGTCATTGGATTATTCAATAAAACTGTGGACAATTTGATTTCTTATAGCTCCCTAATATATTTCAGCAGTTTCGTGAATGAATGTGAGTAGTATACCGAAAAGGGATTTTGCAGGCTAAGGAAGATTTATTTTATTTCTTAGACTTTCCATCATCAGTATGCAAGATGAATAATAAGAAAGGTAGGTAATCACTGTGATGTAGACGTTTTGGAAAATGTTAGGTGGATAACTGATTCACTCTGGTATAGTAGAATGAAATGTGAAACATATACACATTATACACGAAGTTAGCATGATGAAAATATGTAAAAAATAGATAGGTATATGTTAAAAAATTACATCCCAATAATTAATTTTTATTCTTCATTCAGCTGATGAAATCTCCGTCGACTAAAATGAATCCACCTTATCCTGCAAAAGTTACTCAACTTGCATCATGTGATATATGCCTTCAGTTTCTAATTATTTTGTTTTTCTACACACAATCTGACATATATATATAATCAGTAGTTTTTAAATCTTACATACCCTCTAGTGAAATTTTAAAACCTATCGTAATTAAATAATCCTTCACATAGTGGTAATTATTAATTACTTTGTAACAAACAACACGAATTAATAACCTCTCTAATTAATTTTGACAGTATTCTATGTGAAGTTCAGAAATCAGTCTACTTTTTTACTTCATTTGATTTCAACCACTATTTATTGTTTGAAGTTATTGGTTTTAGTGGATTTGAATAGCTGTCATAAATTCACTATTGCTGAGCAGCGTAATTGAAGAATTGCCCTCTATGCTTATTTCGCTGCCTCAACAGGCAGTACAGGCAATCGTATGCAGAAAACGTAAATCATGCAAATTTAAAAACTAGCTCTACCAGTCGCTCATTACTATCCATCTTTATCAAGAGATGAATGCTTTGAATTCTTCAAATTTTGGAAGATATTATGTTAAATAATTCTCAATGGCAGAACAGTAGCTTAGTGAGTGAGTGAGTCAACAAAACTGTTATTTTCTGTTTCGTATCCCAGTGTCATAACTTCAGGCTGCATTATTTTAATGTCCCACTCAGATACTGTGCTAATTATAGTCCGTCAATTTTTCTTCTAATAAAACCTGTACAAGTTAATTAAGGTGAAATTTACAAAATTTGACTGTTGCATACAAAAAAATTAGTTTACCGAAGATTCACCTTATCCCTAACATAATATAAGTTTTCGTATATCTATTCATAATTCAAGCTTTCAGTACAACCGAATCATCTGTTTGGATTTTAGATTACACATTACACATGTGGTAACACATGGCAGAAGTTCAATCCTGTTTTTTGTTAACTGAATCCAAAGTTGTCACCAATCAGTTTCCGTCAATACATTTATGAATTTTCATAAAATTACTTGTACTTTATTGTTCCCAATGAGATAGAACTGTGAGTTTACCTTTTCATTCGGACACTTGAATGAAAGACATTCTGTCAAATTAAATTTGGTAAAGTGCAGTTGAGATTATCTTTATGAGGTAAATAGTGAGGTCAGTGACTGTAAAGTTGTCACAAACATTTTATCTGTTAGCTGAAAAACTATCTTCAATTGCAATTTATTTGACAAGATGCTGCAAAGACAATAAAAATGTTATTTACTGTGGCGATGTATCTACATCGTAGATATATATACCACAAAGATAATTACCGTTGATTGTAGTAGTCTATTGTTATGTAAATATTTATGAAAGTTTATTTATGACAAAGTAGATTAATTAAAAAATCATGTATTCAGTTAGATTCTCGTAGTTTCAAACCATCTGACGAATTTTAATTATTTCACTTTTTGGTAAGAATTTTATAGGAATATTTGGTTTCCATGAGCAACAAACGTGAATTATTAATTATTAGAAACAACTAGTACACTCCGTGTCTATACAGTGATTGGATATTAGGAAGTAACCGATATCATGTACTTAATGTTCAATCTTAGTGCTGACTGAACTGTTTACATCAAGTTCACAATGTGGTCATCAAGCCGGGCAACACGCCGTCGCGATATACTTCCAGTTGATGTCAGATTGCTGCAAACAATTGGTGGGGATCCCTGGATCTAGGATTCTTGTTTGTTGTCAGTTATCAACAAGTCCAATATGCAACCTTGAAAAAACTAATGCCGACTAACAGATTCAAACTCACAGCATACAGTAATACATTCGGAGATGTTACGACCGAGTCTTTCAGTGTATAACTTTGATTGGATACTAGGAAGCAGTCCACGATATCGCTTGTGATTGCAACTGAATTCTATCAGTCAGGTTTGTAATGCAGTCAACAAGCTTGGCTACGGGGGACTGTCATATAAAGAACTCAGATTTTAATTGCCTTCAGACTGCAAAAGAAGCATACACCATACTCAGTAGTCATCCCTTCCCTTCTCCTTACTTTCATCGGCTTGATATTAGCAACAATGCCATATCTATCATGAAGTGATTAACATTCTTTCACGAAATTGAAATGCATTTAATCTGTGTGAGAAATATCAAGTATTGTGATTTATAGAGTTACTCTTTTACATAAATAATTTTCACTCTTTTCCCTTTTGCTAATTCCCTCGATCTTAATCATGATTAATGTACTGTTGACTATCATTTTATAGCTAAAACATTCATACATCTCTAAGGTAATACTGTTGTTTTCATTTTATTAACAAACAAATAAAGTGTTTGATTTCCTTCGCCTGATTTGCTCTTAAAAAAAGAAATAACATCCACCAAATCATGTTTAAAAACTAAATTTCACAGCCGTTTCCTTTATAAAAAAAGAGATAAATGCAGTTAATACATTACAATTTCATTAAATTGGGAATTATAGTATTCAACGTTATCATTGATGACGAACGGCAAAGATTTGATATTAGTTTCAAAAGCATCAAAATGTAGTAAAATATCACAGAACAAATAATAAACAAATCACACGGATATATTAATTACACTTCCCAAATTAGTTATATCGCTAGAAAAAATATCTGGTGGTTTATTAACCTTCACTGGAACTAAACACGCGAAATTACCATCAATAGTATAAGGACATGTATATAACTGTACGCTGTATGGATTATAACTATTATTAGTTGATAATGATGTTTGTGAAGAGGTGATTGTAAGTAGTGGTAATTCATTATTCGTTAGAAGCTGTACTGTTTGTTGGGGTTTATTGATGTTTTGCGTGATCATGTCACTCTTTTCGTGTACACAATTAGTTACTAACACCTTTTTCTTGGAAATATTATTAAGGTATTCACTTTTATACTGACCGTTTGGATTTGATTGTGTTGCGCGTATAGTTGTCGGTAGTGAATGCTTTTTATGATTATGCATAGATCTTTCAGTAACTGAATCTTCTAACAGCTTTAGAGATGTTGTACACATTTCTCTTACTTCTGGCGTTTCTTTAACTGGTTGGTGGTTAACATCTGATGTACAACAGTGTTTACAACGACGTGGACTTTTCGGATGCCATAAAGCACAGATCACAGCCTGAATTCCTATAAGCGTAAGAAATCCTAGTGATCCAGGTATGAGAAGAAATCGATAACGTATCCATGCTGATAAGGGTTCGTTTCTGGATGAATCCAATTTATAGGAATCTGTTGTGATTTCATTCATAACTTGCTGGTCGTTGTTTATGAATTCTTTGGTTTCTGATGTAATTTTCGACTCTATTTAAAACAAAAGTGAAGGGGATTGAAAAATTAGACGAAAAATACAGCACAAAGAATTTCTATGGAATAAAATTCGAAAGAGGATAATTGTGATATGTTTGACTATTCACTGAAATAAAACTCATTTATTGAACTCAAGCATGTTACTTTATTAAAACTTGTAAAATCGAATTTTTTCCTTCGCTCGTTAAATCTTTAGGAAGTAAAACCTGCATTTTACGTAATCTATTAGAATCTACTTCTTATTCCTGGCAATCTCAATAGTATTGAATCGGAAAACAAGAGCTCAAAAGCGACTTTTGGATTGTTTAACCATTTCCAGACAAAATAAATTTAAAATGACTGATTCTGAAAAATATTAGTAAACGTCACGGATTGTTATGTTTTCTCACTCAATTAGGGTTGTAACATATAATTTTCTGAATTTTCAAGGTATATTGTCTTCTTCATATCGAGAATGTTTCTAACAAAATTAATGATATTTCGCGTGACTTTTCAAAGTAAAACCAACTTATTAAACGTTGCTGCTAACATTGAAAAACTAACATTTCAGATATAATTACTGGTTTTAGAAACCACTATGCGAAAAGGTAAGCATTATCCTCTGATTTCAATACCTAAATATTTTTATCCATGCCATAAGTATTTTTCAATAATGTTGTTAAATTGATAAAGTCAATAAACACTCAGTTTTGTGTCACAGGAGAACATTTATGCAAGTTAAACATTCCACTTACAGAATACACTAACAGTATGTATATTGTAGTGTAATGTATTAATATAATAGTAGAATTTAGTCATTTTGTTAGAATAAAATTCCATATCAAATAGGTAATACAGTATTGATAACTGAATGACGTTCAATTTGCTCATAATCGTATAAACGTACTCACATGATTCCACAATTTGCTGTTTTTTATTGTAATTTTTAACATATCCAGTAAGGCATTGCGTCATTTCAACTGCACTGGAATAAAGCCCTCTTGAGAAAATTGTTTGTTTGATTCACAAGGTAGAGAAGTATTATGGTAGTCAGGAAAAGCTTTTTTACGCATACTTGATGTCGATCTCTCTTACCAACGAGAAATAATCCTCGATAACCTAATTTACAATAATCTTGCTGAAGACACAATTACTGACCACTTCGAAACTAGAGGTTTCGTTTGACATCGATTCTCGAAACCAAACATGTTTCAGATATATCGTCTGAATACTTCTCATTTCACAAATAGATAGGAAAATGTGTGAAAAAAAATTGAATCTCAGTTCTTACACAGGATGTCATGCATTCTAAGGGTTTCTAAATTCCTACTGCACGAATGTTCATAATGAGATGAATATGAAACAAAATACAGTTGTGCATAGTGTTTATCACAGCAAAAAATGGTTAATTTGCTTACCTTCATCTTTATTTACATGATTATTTGGTTCGAGTTTAACAGCTATTCGAAGATTATAGACAGAACATAAATCTTGTTGACCTGAATGTAAATAAAAAATGAAAGGTAACATCTTTATTCAAAGTTTCCTTTGATGTGTTGCATAGAATAATAAATTTTATGTACTAGATGGTTGGAGGCAATCAAAAGGAAGCCACGGAACTAGGTTTCCTTCTTGTTGGCTCTCGTCATTAAAGCTTATCTACAATCTTGAAGGAACTCGTGTCACTCATTGCTGCAGTTGCAGACATTACCCTGAGCTGTTCGGGTTCACGACTAACCTTCTGTAGGACTGTATTAGAAATTTTGATTGGACACTAGTTAGTAACTAGTGTGATGTGTCTAGTCCTTTGTTTGGTGTAGACTGGATTCTATCATTGAAGTTTGCAAAGTGATCACTATTCTAGGTGGCTCGCCATCCCAGTGCTCAGTGGTAACGTCTCTGACTGCAGCACTGGGTGACCCAGGTTCGAATCTCAGGAGGGACATGAGTTCCTTCGAGATTGCATATACGCCCCACTGGGGAACGGCAAGAAGCACGAAACCTGGGCTCAAGGGTTATTGCCGATTGCTTCCAACCGTCTAATAATAATTCGCAGTGCATGGTGTTGGTGAGACAACCAGCATGTTGGTCACATTGTAAACCTGACTGATAGAATTCAATCTGCTCGAAACAAAGGGCTAGATGCATGACAATCATTAGTGTTTAATCATAGTATTTTTACGTATACATATATATGCATATGCATGCGAGATCAAACAACTGTTTTTAAGACAACAGAAACATTTGCAGCTTTACAGGCACGTGTTGGAAATAAATTGAGTTGCTAGAGTCTGAAAATTAAGAAATCAGTGAAGATAGTGTTGACAGACTACGGTCAAAACTTGGAGAAAACGAAATAGTTTACATTTGATACAACCAAATCTGTTTTTAAAATTTACTGTTGAAATTATTATTATCGTCATAGAAACATAAGTATAAATGTCTATTAAAAGTGAAACGAAGGGATAGAATAATAGTTAGTTAGTTTTAGTAGCAATTTAGGTGCATATAGAATTATCAGTGAAAGGTATTATGATGCAGTGTGAATAAAGTATTGATGATTGTATTAGCATGAAAAACAATAAAGGAAAACTTCGATAGATGAGTTACAGTCAGTCAGGAAAACAAATATATGAATGCATTCAAAGGAAGACGAATTCAAGCGTGGTCAATAATGATAATAAAAGTTATAGCTGCATCATTTAAATCAATAAATGAAACAATGCACGTTGTGTAAACAAAACGTTTTAAAACGATTTAAGACTTAGATAACAGAAAACATCTGGGTTATCAAGAGATAACAAAGCAACCCATAAAATAAGTACATTTCATGTGACCTTCTATTAGACCACATGAGAGATAAAGTTGAATCTTCGAGCATGAAATCCTCGAAGTATGGTCCATTTGAATAGTTCCACAAAGCTGAAGCAAGTTTACACGCAAACTGATTTGTCTGTCATTAGTAATGCATCCTCAATGCAAACTTTCTTCCTCCATCTATTTTGAAAGTCAATGAGCACTTTTACTACACTGGTTTCCTTTCGTCTTTACGGTATATAGTCTAGTATACGAGAATATTTATGTAAAACCGAGGATAAAAAGCACTTTGAAATAAATTCATTTCACTTTTGTGCCTTAATTCCTCGAGATGTGCACCGAGATTTCAGTCTGCATTTGTTTGTTTGTATAATATGTCATTATCCAATTTAAATAATTTGATATTATTCACTGGTAAAATCCTCAGAAAATAATTCTTTTCATTTATTTTCGCTGCTGTTCTGTTCATCAAAATGTATCGCTTTCACTGTGTTTCAAATTGTTTTAGTCTTCTAATTATCACGATGAGTTGCAAACTATACTCGCGCAAAATTTCAAATAAGTTTCAGCCTACCGCTAGGAGTTTTCTGGAGGGGTAGCATAGGAACATAGTTCAGATATAACAATATTTCTTCAGATGATATGTTGTTGATTATCATACTGTTCAAAGATTCAGCACAAGGAATAAGTGCCTTGCATTGAAAAGCTGAGAATTCTCTATTGTATATGAATGCATTATTCAGAATAAAGCTACTATTATTATATATAGGGGAACTAAAATGACAGAGTTCATGACCTAATAAGTGAAAACGGAAAAAGTACAGACTGCTTTTAAGATGCTAGAGTGGGAAATTGTATGATATCTGGGTGAAATAATAATAATTAAGGATAATCTAATATTCTAGTGTTGATTTTCAGGGATTTGATTGGTTTCAGAATTTCGTCATGGACTGACATCGGTTGGGGGACAAGTAGAAAACCTAAGGGTACTGGACAGCCTTTTCGTCCTAGTTTAGGAATCTTTATTAGTAACCAGCCACTGAGGTTCAAACCCAGGACCTTGTGGATACAAGGCGAGCTAGGAGACCATTAGGCTAAGATCGTAATATAATGAATATAAGGGATAATGGAAAAAATTAAAACGATAGTGTTCACAGCCATGTGTTCTAACCAAATTTGGATTTAATAGTTTGGGGTAACTTTGATACTGGGTATACGATATTTATTATTATAAAAATTATCGCACTTTCCAATAAATATAAAACAAAAGCTATAGTGTTTCCAGTTATGTTTCTTTGTTTGACGCTTTAAGCTTCATCAGGGAGGAATTAAGCCAGAATTTGATAAATCTCAGATTATATGTGGTAACTTAATCATGGTTCTTCAGCACGAGTTTTATTTGATGAATGTTTGAATTGTGGAAGTAACATATACTTACTCAATGAAGATACTTATTACATTTGTGTTGAAACTGTCACTTCATTGGAAGGAGGGATTTTTGGAACCAGATCGAATCTTGACTTAATCCGACATTCCTATTCAGACAATAGAGATGCCATTTAATGTGAAGTGCTCGCGGTATGTGGCGTTCTCGGTGGTTTTTGAAAGCCTTCTAAATGGTTTCAGCAATATCAGAATCAATCTTGTGATTTGATTCGTTAGTATGCAGACCTATGGCCAACGATTCTTCAAGCCTTTCTCGTTCAGTTTTTGAAAGTAGGCTCTTCAGTGTTCATGTCTTCTGACTTTGATTTCTCTCTAGTTTTGTCCTATATAAATTTCATCACATTCTAAGCATTTTATTATACAGACACAGCCGTACTGTGAATATTTCAGAATTTGTTCTTTCATTTGAATAGGACTGTTTTTTAGTATGACTGACGTCTTAAAGAAAACTCTGATGCTGCATTAGCTGCTTGGACTTCTGATCTTATCTGATTTATTTATTCTGTATGCAATCGCAGCTATCGTGCCCGAAAGATACGTTTAATTCAACTATCAAAGGTCAAATTAATATTTCAATTTTATGTACTTGCACTAAACTTTCACAATTTCTGGTTGTTGGGTAAAATAAGTCAGAAGCAAATACATTATGTAGATGATTCCGAGAATTCGAAATTTCTGTCAATTAGTTAGCAGCTAACACAAAGGAGCCAAAAAACGATCTATGTTTGCGGAAACCTTGTTAACAGATTTACAGGCAGTTTGGTAATTCGTATAACAAATGGAATTTCGTAAGGCTAAAATTATTTATGATGGTTATTTGGCTATCTGTCAGACTTAGCTTCACTCTGATTCATCCTAGACGACTGGATGGTATCATGATACCTGACACAATAATTGTATCGCACAGACTTATACATGAAACAGCTATTCTAGGTAACTGATTTCTGACTAAGTAACTTACTCTTTCGGCCACGCATATGAGTTTATGAATTTACAAGACACTGATGAGAACAGGTTTACATAGAGTGGTATAAAGTTTTAGAAACTGAAGAGATGAATATAATATAGTAAAATTCTTTTTGTAAATCATAAGAAAATGTATTCCACTTCAAACATAAAACCCACCTAGGAAATAAACATAATGATTTTCTCGGAAATGTGGAGAATATGGAATTTCTGAAAACTGAGCTACTTTGAGAATGAATTCAGTATTCTTAACATCTTGATTGCAGTCAAGAAGTTTTACAATTTGTGATGAACTTGATGTACCACAATCTTCATAGATTCCTTTTTCAGTTGTCTGGAATACAAAAATGAAAAACATCTGAAAGCATTTACATAGATTTTTGAATTTTCTTACGCATTTAAACGTGTATAAGAATAACATAAACTTAAAATTCTGGAAAAGATAGAGCAGTTTATTAAACCCTAGAAGATTACAATCATATTGCAAATGAACTTCTGGCACATTGGTCATCAGATTTTGATTTTTTAAAAGGATGCAGTATTTAAAAAATCCAAAAATAATAATGATAGACGTTGAGTGTCATCGTGAATTATGTTTAGTTTCATTTTTAGAAAATGAAAACGAGCGAAAATTTGGTGAGCAGAGTCTGACGAATTTATTATCAGGCTTTACAGTCGTGTATACATGATTGTTTTGAAACAATGTGAATCACTGCAAAATATTTGTGATTATAATCATACTGATACATCAATTAACAAAATGGTTATTCAGTTTATCAAATTATTCATATGTAGTTCTTAGAGAGGGCCATAGAGTTAATACGATTAGCCGAGAAATTAAATATCACTTAACAAGGTGAGAATTTTTATAAGATAACATTAAAAAATATAATACTAACTTAAATGAATAAAGGATGGCAAGCAAAATTAAACCGGATACTGTCCAAAGCGAAAATAATAATAGAAATAATAAAGGTTTGGTAATAAAGATTTCGTCGCGATTCAAACTGTTATTTCAAAAATTATATATATATATACGTATATGATTGTACATCTTGATAAACTCATTGAAAAGAGTAGCACCGCTGAATCACTTATTTCCAGTTTCTGCATATTCTAATGTGAATTTTCCGTGAAATACTCTATGTCCACTGTCATGAGAGAAAACATGAATCTTCAATTAAAGTAATTTAATAAATCGCTTTAAATTGCAAAGCGTGGTTAGTAAGGTGAATAAAATTTGCTTTGCTATATAAAATGTGTAACCCACTATCGTATTTGTAATAGGGAGAACTTAAATTGAGACTGTTTATAATATCTTGCTTTTCAGAATAGATAATTCTTCAGTCTCAAATTATATCCAACTCTGTAAGACTAACAAATTTTAAAAATAAAGTAGTAATAGGGAAACACTACTCTTGGTTTTCATTAACGGTAGATTTCTAAACGTAGTATATTTGACTGCAAACTGTAATGTGATTTGATGCTATAACGGATGACTCCACTAGTGTGTGCATTTGCTTCCAAAAAAGCAAACAGATTTATTGAGCTTATTTCGCTCCATATTAGAATTTCATATTGTCTTGGTATTGCAAAGGATTTGAACTGCAGGTCTGTTACTCAGCCTCTTTGGTCAATTAGATACTTATGACAGCCTGGACATCTCTGATATACTTCGCATCACTGCATAACTTTTGAGATTGGTTTAGTTTTCACATTACTATATGACATTTTTAAAAATAAAAAAGTATCATCTGCTTGTCACGCTTCATTTACATCACTCTTACAGATTCACTACATTAGTCACTTGTGTGTTATCTTACTTAATAACATAACGAAGGATAAGTATATTGAACTCATATTTTAAATGTGCAGACCAGTTGTCGAAGTCGGTAGTATATTCATCCACTTGGAAATATGAATTTATATTTATAGTAGATGTTATCGCTGCAAAATGAATAAGGAAACGAGATATTTTAGAAGTGTTTATTTCAGCTGATGCCAATGTCCTATAATGATCACTTGATTTAGGCCAACACTAATTTCAGACACCAAAAGATTTTTTATTTGAATGTCATTTGCATTATACTAGTAGAGAAAATATTCTGACGGTTCCTTCTGAATACGGGTTGTAAATTAGTGTAAGCTTATTTATAAATACGTAAACAGTCTCCAGCACGAGTGAAATTGAGTCACTCCTAGATGAACTTGAATATGATTTTTGATGGTGGATAACTGCTAATATTCAAACGATAGCGATGTATTTTTTAACAAAACTTAGTTCAATATTTTTTAAACAAAAGTTTTGTCAATTCCTTTTTTGATAATCATATGCTTTAGGACTCAAGCAGAAACATATATTGTTTGTAAGAGGATGACATCTACCTCGGTTCTGGAAATTCATTGTTTCTTGTTTGTCATGTGATGAGAACTTAAAGTTACTTTAGTCAGTATAACTCAGATGAGATACTCTGATATGGAATAAGAGCATTTTATTCAAAGAATACGATGTCAGTTGGTACTGGATGCAGTGAACCTGCAAGCATTTCGATAAGTTATTTCATCCTACAACAACAGAATTACTTATGTATAATTTAACACTGGAAGAATAATATAAATGAAAATTCAGTTATTTAACTTACCCAGAATAATTTTTGGTTTCTCAGTGTATTTGCTGGACAAATGAACACTATATTATCGCCTTCTTTTACTTTGAAAATTGTTGCATTAAAAGAAAAACTAGTGTTGACAGAGAAAGAAAAAAAGGAAATACTCTTCTAATTATTATGATAAATGAAAGACTTCGTTAATTCGTAAATATTAATTTAGGCACCTTAAATATGAATTTATAGCTAAACGCTTGCTTTTGATTTGTCAATGTCTGTAAAGCATAAGCTTTGTAACATAAAGGAATACAACATGGAACGTAATTATTTCAAAAACTACATCCACTGTACTTTGGTTTATGAATACACTGAGGTATTTATTGATTTTTGTCACGTATACTGAAGTGAGAGATTTTTAAAGATTGTAGAAGGCGCCACTTAATGTCATTTAGCATATTCCTTGTTGCAAAGTGAAGACTGATTCAGAGTTTGTATTCATATATTGTATATACATATATATTTATGGCGTCTGTTGTCCAATGGCAGAATTATCGAGATCCAAGCATGAGATCCGGGTTCAATTCCCAACCGATGTACTTATAAACTTCGCTTAGTTTACTAGCCAGTAGTTGATGACTCGAAGCTAGAAACCTCAATCTGTAAGCTCTGTACTATCCCTATTATAATCTTAAAGTTTAAAGTTCAGTTTTCCACTGTTAACGCAAGGAATGAATATATGCAAATATATTGCCAGTTTGTAAATTCTGGCAATCAGGAAGGCCAACAATGTGGCGGAAACCAAGGGTGCACTTTAGCTGCGCCATGAAATAAGATCCGTATAAATTGGCTAAAGATTTTACATCCATTGAATAATTAATATACTTAATAAAAGTGGTGATAAGTCATGCAAAAGAATAAAACTTCATCCCTTGTCTTAAGCATTCTTCTTTAGGTTGGGTAGAGTGTTCACCATACTTTTTCAATATTTCATTTATCTAAGTTGAATTTATTCTACACTTTATACGTTTACTCAGATTTTTTATAACTTCACAAAGCAGTAATAAAATATCACTTCAGAAAAGTATTCTAAGCGTGACAAGAGTAGGCAAATGTTAACCTCAGAAACTCAAAATTTGTGAATTTTCTACCTCCATACAACGCATTCACATCAAGCGTGAGCTATCAAACAAAGGGAATATATGATAAATGTATGTGATATCTGAATGTATGACACCCTACTAAATTTTAAATTACTCCCGTACCTCAAAGTCAGTGTTGAAACTCAACGTACATGCATTTTACTGAACAAACATTTTATCAAGAGTAAAAAAGCAAATCGAACAATATGGAAGGTTTCTGAAAGACCAAATAGAACAATGAAACCTTTCTCTATTAAGTTTTTCAAAACGTGACAAAATAATAATTTCATTTTTCATTCACCGTCTAACTTCGTTACATTTGTCTGCCATTGTTTTTTTAAAACATTTTTACTAATATTAAAAGAACGTAAAACGTTTGAAATAAAGTCCGAAATTTCACACAATTAAACATGTAAAATGAAACACAAATGAGTTCAATGTTGATTAAATTTCATTTTTTTAGGTGCCCAAATAAAGATATATTATAAATGTACTTCCAAATGGAACAGAACTGTTACGCATGTAGTGATTAAATTTATGGAATGTAGTAGGATTGCGTCATGCAAGTTAATTTCCTCATATCAAAGTCAAAACTTCACACGTCAAAATTGGTATTCGTTGCAGGATTTCATCATGAGTTGACGTCGGTTGGAGAACCATTGGAAAACTTAGGATTACTGGACAGCTGTTTAGTCCTAGTTTGCGGCTGTTTATCAGTTCGCACCCACTGCCAGGGTTTGAACCCAGGACCTTCTGGATTCAAGGCGAGCTCGTAGACTATTAAGCCGATCCAATGGCCTATGAATTTCAACTTCTGCCGATTCGCGACATAGAGCTACCACTAGCCAATGTCAATGCTGGCGAATATTTGTACCCACAGCCAACCTGCTGGTATTGATATTCACAGAAAACTGCATTCAGTCATGTAAAATGCTTTAATATTTTTAAGTTTCTCAAGGAATACTATATTGTCCAAAATAATTATTATTTACTAAGTCTTATGTTTCAGTTGGACACGTCATAACAAGATAAAAAGGTGAATTAAATTGTGCGAGCAAAACTGAAATCGTATCGAGGTCACTGATCTGAAGAATGGAACATCTCTGTCAAATCATCATCATCAAAACATATTCAAAGTTCTCTTTTAAGCGTTTGGTAAGAATAAATTGTTAAAGTTATCCTTTTTCTAATGAATACATATTTATTTGCTAAAATGTTTCAATGCCTTAAATATTTTTTTTCAGTCCAATGCTTTCTATTAATTGTGCGAAAATGTTTTTAGTTATCATGAAACAAAGATAAAAGTTACTTAGTGGGCCATGAAATGAAATGCACTAAGAAAAGGCTCTATATGAAACGATTTCTTACAAAGACAATAAAAATGAATCTACGTTACTCATCAGAAGGTGGTTTTACTTACAGTAAGTTAGTTTTACTCTCATTTCAAGTCATGCTCCTTGAGAACGGTAAATTTTTGCTCTGTCAATTACTCTCCAAACAGGAGCATATGATGAACCAGAAATCAGTCAGCAATGAATTTACTCCTTACAACTGATATTTGAAATACTTACAATTTTAAAAATGTGATTTTAAATAAGAAAGAAATGCATTCGGATTATTGTGCTTATTTTTTGACAAAAAGATTATCGTTGAAAAGATAATACAAAGAAACTCGAAATACTCCAAAATCAGATCATTGATTAGTTTGCAGTTAACTAGCAGAAAAACATTCTTAAAAGCTAAAACAAAAATGATGTAAGTATTGCGTTCATTTTACACCTTCAAAATCACTGCTTCAGAATTTACACTGAATATTTTGTAGTTTGACGTTTAACTATATTAAGTCTTCACGTAAACATCTATAGCTGCATGAAAAATATAGTAATAAAGAGAATATTTTCTGAATATGAAAACATTTATCATTTTACTTATATTCGCTAGTGGTTCACTGACACGCATAAGCAAATATTTTCGTCTGTTTGATAACTGCGAATAACAGATGCAGATTTAACACTGACTAATACTGAAGAAATAGTGTATATGTTCACAATTGTATATGCCTCATTTCCAAAATCAAAATTTCTTATTTCTTAAGTAACTTCAATATAAAGAAACCACTAGCCAAGTTCAATTAAAATGTTTATTCAAGCGTAAACTTGTAAAGTGTTAAGCAGTAGTGTTAGATGATATCTAGTTAAAACAATTTCGATTGTAAACTAAATTTGAATTTAGTATTTGGTTCACAGTGCAGTTGGAACGATGATTTTTGATGCAACACTACCAAAGGAACATTTTGTAATCAAATTTGTGGTTCGAAAGTGAAAAAATCCTAATAGCAGCACTATACATACATAGTCTTTTTAAAACGTTGTTAGCTTGCATGCTTAAAGTTTGAGGAACTAGATGAACATTTCACTGGCTGTATTACTGTATTTGAAACAAATGCTGAGAGAATAATCACTGTACGTAATAAGTTTAGTGAAGCCATATTCCAAATGACTCTGTATTTTTGAAAGGATTTTTAATTTCAGCATAAATGAAACTTGCCAAGGTGGAAAATCTCAACCTGTAAAAGGAACTCTGAAAATTCACTTTTTGAATGAAGTATAACAAATGTGAAATCTACACATATTTGAAACCTTTTCATTGTTTAGTGAGTAACACTCTGAGATAAATATAGCAGCATCAGTTAAAAAGGGGAAAATAAAGCGAATACTACCATTGGCAGCGGAAGCATACGACTCTCTGTCGTCAACATCTTCAAGTAAAATGAAAAGCATTTATACCATATCTTGTTTTTGTAGATTTGTATCATTGATTATAAACACACAATCAAGGAAAGAAACAACTACAATATGCAGATAATGTTGATGGCCCACATGTTTAAATTTTCAGAAAAACACATTACTTCTAGTTAGAGGATATATACAATTAATCAGACTTTGTCTGCATTCGTTTCATAGTTTTATTTCAAAATTCATGAAATCATTGAGAAAGTCGCCTTTTCTTTATTGCTTGGAATTCTCTATGCATTCTGGATGAAGAATTTTAATTGCATCCAGTTACCCAATTGGTTTTGTTTTTAGTTTTCATTCTCTGAATAGTTTCAATTTTCTAACTTTGACCTAACCACTATATTTGTAATTCTTTTCTACTTAAATGTATATTTTAAGTATCTGTATTATACAAATGAACGGTTTTACTTATCAACACAGTGTTAGAAATCTTACTAAAGACTTTATCCTCGTTGCATATCGGTATTTCTAATATCTTAAATGTAATTCCATCCTATTTATGCAGCGGACAATGAATATCATCAGATTTTGTTGCTTTCTGTCACGATTTATTAGAAGTTTATTCATCTAAGCACACAGAAGTAAAGGACGCAAAAGAAAACTTTCTGATGAATTAGAAGTAACTCTTATTGTCTAGAACATTTCTTCATAAAATTTGCCATAACGTTTACTATCGTGTCGATAACTCTGGATCAAACAAATCACAAGTCTAAATAATGTCAAGTGGAACCTGTTACAATGCGGTGAAAAACCTTTTAGCCTTTGAGGAAATAAGTGCTGAGTTTAAGTCCAACTATGAACACTAACAGTAAATCAAATTCAAGTGAATGTAAAGATCAGAATATAACAGTTATTAATACTTGTCAGCAATCAATATTAACTCAAGTGAACACTAATACTTATAGATGTCCAAACCAAGTTCACTTTAAACAGTTTGAAAAAATTTGGGCATTGGGTATGTGATATTCATTATAATACAGGTTTTTGTATTTCCCAATGAATGAAAAACAAAACCATATTGTTTTTACTGACGTTTCGCTATTTAATGCTAAGAGCTTTATCAAAGTATTATTAAACCGGAATTTGCAAAATCTCAGCTTATATATAACAAAGAGTTAAGGGGTGAGAAAATAGACTTAGGTCAAGTTAAAATGACATATTGAAAGTCAAAATACCAATGAAGATCACTAAACCAAAAA